CATCTTTTAATAATGCTACCAAAAGTTAAAATTAAAGTTTAATAATTATCTAATGTTGGAAGTTAATCGTTGATTTTCTTAGTTCTTTGCATCAACTACGTTATAATTTAATATATATTTTTTATACTTCTGACCACATGGTCACATCACTGTGCTAATTTTTAAATAAGTCACTAAATGTTGTTAGTAAATTAAATGTTTATACATTTCTACTTTATATTGTCCATTTTTTCAAGTTTAATTCATAAGCTTGTTAACATCTTTGACTGCTACATGTCTTTTTAAGGTAACACCTGTAACATCTTTTCCATGATTGTGTGGTTCTTATATTATACTTTTTAGAATGAACTGATGATGCTTTCAGAATACGAAAGCGAAACGTTTTCAAAATAGATAGAGTGGCACATCAACTTTGTCTTCATTTCTCCACCTACAAATTGACCGATATAAGAGCCCACCACTCTGTTGAGTGATCCTTTTATATATATATATATATATATATATATATATATATATATATTATATATATATATATATATCCGTATCTTCCTCTCTTTTATCACTATCAACCTTCCACTATCACCACTACCATCGGTCGGTGTTGACTAGCTACACACTCTATCAATTTTGGTAACCTCTTTTAGCGGACTTCTTCTACACAGCACAAAATCTATGTGACTTTTAATTATGTGTTAGTATAAATGAATTAAAAAAGTGTAAATCTAAAGAAGATTGTAAGAAATTAAAAATATCTCTTGCAATATCTTTATATCACAGTATAAGACAAATTATTGATATAATTACTTAATTAATCATTTCATTTTCTATCTATTCTTACCTAAAATATCATCTGCCAGATTGATTTTTTTATGTACTCCTTCCACGGAAGCGGATGGTTGTATATTGCTAGCTGCAGATTTTAATTCTTTATAAAATTGTGATGTAGGCGACCCTTCCTTGGGGGGTTTTGAAACGTGCAAGTAAATTGAGTCATTGGCTGCCAACGTATCGAGGCACATGACGTATGAAACTTCCTAAAATCAAAAAACCATTTTACATCAAGTAAAAATAAATATATACTTAACAGCAAAAGTTTTGCACTACCAAAATTTATGCTCATTTTCATAGTTGATTTTCGCTAATGATTCAGCTAATGTTTTTTTTATTTCAGATTTATTTTTTGATTTACACTGTTGGGCAAAGTTTTGCTCAAACTTCTCTTTTTTATCTTATACCGGTTGGAAGAAAGGAAATGTTTTTTGTTTAGTTAAATTTGAGGCACGCGGTAGGGAGCACAAGGCACTTGGCTATTGACTGCATTACCCAGATATATAAAATGTGCGGAAAATTTAGATACGAAACATACATCAAAAATTTTACTAAATAAATACTTTACCTGAATTATAGATCCGTCTACAGAATCTAACTGTTCCTCTAACCATTTTTTACTTCCTTGGTAATTCATCTTTCCACCCCCGGATAAAACAAAAACTATGTTATATCGACCACGGGTCTTTTGGTCTGCGTAAAGAGTAGAAAATATTCTGACTAATTCCAAAAGGATTACTACTCCTGATCCGTTTGAATCAGCTCCAAATGATAAATCCTTAAAACAAAAAAATTCTTGAAACAAAATATATGCTCACACCAATAATCTATAAAATTTTGTCCAGAGCAATAAGGTAAAAAGTATCCTGTTGGGAACTTTGACCCCCAGGTAAATGACAAGTTTTTTGGGTTTTATGGACATTGATAACCAATGTCGTCCATCAGTAAAAAGTAAAATATTTTGAACAGATAAAGAAATAAGTTTAAAGCTTTAAACTGACGATTTATAAATGTTGATTTACTAATTTGTTGCTTAGAATACTGTAAAAAACCTAAGAATTCTTAATTTTCAATAAATGTTAATAACTCTTATAAAAAGAAACCTTGTCACCTTCATATTGTGCGGAAAGGGAGGTCTTATAATATTAAACATGCGGTTATAATTTTAGAATGATTCATCAATTAGTTTAAAAGTTGTTAAATTGTTTATATCAAACAATTTTTTTGCAATAACATTTAGAAAAATATATACTTACAATGATTCTATGAGTAGCATAAGCAACAGAGAGAGTGTTCTATCAAAAGAACTTAAAAAAGGTAGAGAAAACCATTGTCAACAGTGCAAAAACATTGCACTTTTTTGCTGTTAAACAATGTGTATAATTTTTTTGCTATTACACACGGAAAATATTCAAAAAGCTGGTAAGTTTTGAAAAAAATTTGTCCTACGATTATTCTGGACGAAGTTGGTCCCTGTTTCAAATCAGCGATATCGAAAAATTAAATATGAACTTCAAACTCGAACTATAAAATATATCCGGTACTTGTTGGTGGATTTTGATGTTTCTTTTTGACTCAGGCAAGGAGATGTTCTAGCTTGCCCCATATTTAATATTGTCTTGGAAAAGGTAATCGAAGACACACGAATTAGAGACAGCGGTACTATTTACAATAGATCGATACAAATCTTAGAGTACGCTGATGACATACATTGACGTAATAGGGCATAGAAGGTGGGATATTGAGGAATATTTCCTAGAATTGAACGATGATTTTAAACTTTTTAAAACAATCTCTAATAAGAAAGATGCAGTCAAATTGCAAGATGATCTAAGATCAGTTATTCAATGGTTTAACGATTCAAAAATAACTCTTAATGTTAAAAAGTGTGCAGTAGTTTCATATACGCGAAAACTCAATAGTGTTATTGAAGATTACTATATTAATGATGATCGAGTTGAGAGAGTGAGTGTTATGAAGGATATTGGAGTTAAATTCCAAACCAACATGAAGTTCAATATACACTTTTATGAAATAACTAACACAGCTTATCGTGTTTTGGGTTTTGTCATTAGAAATAGCAAAAATTTCAGAACAAGCACAATTATAAAACTCTATAATGTCCTGGTGAGACCACATATGGAATATGCTTCAATCATTTGGTCTCTTACTGCATTTTCAATCTCAGAAATTATTGAAAAAGTGCAAAAACGATTTTTAAGATTTTTATATGTAAGGTAAAATAAGAAATATCCATATGTGGTCTGATACAAGGTAATGTTAGACTCATTTCAGTTGCAGTCACTTGCCATTAGAAGAGTCAGGCCGTTATGTTCATAAACTTGATTGTTAACAGTATTAGGTACACAAACTGTGTTGAGTTTATTTACTTTAGAGTACCCAAGAGTAGGTTAAGGATAACTAACCTAGATCTATTCTTTACAAATTACTGTAGAAACATATCACCAATAAACAATATGTTAAAAATTTGTAATGAAGTATTTAATAGACTGACTCATGTGAATATATTTAATGTAAAAAGCTGTGAACTTGAGACATTGCTTGCTCAACAGCACTAGGTTTAAAGGATAAGTAAATGTTTGTTACTAACGATGCTATAGCAAATGAATTGGCCAAAGACAATCCACAAAGGATTGTCGAGCCAAAGATGATGATGATAAAGGAGAGCAAGAGCTTATTGCTAAAACATCTACATGCCATCATCTCTAAAATATTCATCATCAGGATTATTCAGCAAAAAAGTAAGCCAATGTGTACCAAATAATAATTTTGCATTTTAAAGAAACGATATGGAATATGAATATATTATTAGTATTAGTATATTAGTATAACCCATATTTATAATATAAGTAAAAATGAATCTTATCTTTTTAAAATAAATTATGTACACTGTTGTGTAATACCATGAATAATACAAAGTATTTGTCTTATCTTGACCAAATTAATAATTATTAAGTAATGAACTTAATTTACAATAAAAAATGATATCCCATTAATAGATCATTTAGAATAGCAATAAACTGTCTAAAAACAATTTTGAATGTGCCAAGCAAAAAGTTAGTCCTAAATTTATAAATAAATGTCTAAACTTTAAGTAAGCCTGGATAAAAATGTTAATAAATAATTAACAAACATTTCTACTATGGGTAAAAATTTATCTTATCATTTTAAGATAACTATTTACAGTGTTTTGCAATGCTTATTTATATTAGAAGAAATACAAAAGTCTATGGCTTTTATAAATGTCAACCAACTTAAAATGCACTAATTATTTTAATAAAAAAAAAATGTTAAATGTTTTAGAATCTAGTGATGTTCAAGTATAAGATCATCATCATCATCAATCAGCCCTGATTTTTCCATTGTCAAATTTTGCCTTTTTCTCTTTTGAGCCTCTGCTATCCAATTAGTCAAAAAAATTTGAGGTTGCCAGTGCAGTGTTGGGGGTTTTACCTGACTTGGGTTGTCTATCCCAAAAGATAGAAGAAAGAGAAGTTTATGTATTCAAAAATAGGGATAACCCTAATATACACAAAAAAATCTTAAAGTTTCTTGAAGCCGTCCTTTTTCTTTTCCAAATGTGTAAATTGCATTACCTTCAGTAGGACAATTATGAACATCACAATTCCATGTAATAACTTACAAAAATAAGCAGGAGTCAAAATATTTAAAATTTTATAAGTGAACACCATTATTAAGTAAAAGATCCTTTGTTGAACTCACTGCAGCATGCTAAGCTTTGTTGCTATAGGTGTATGTATATCTGCTTCCACCAACAATGATTCTCATTCCATTTCATTGATTTGATTTAAATTGAAAAGAGAAATAACTAATGAGCAAAAATCGAAGTGAGGTTGAATAATTGCTTTAAAAACTGTAATTTTAGTTGAAGTTGAAAAATTTTTAGATATTTTTGAAAAAAGCATAATTTTTTTAGAAATCTTTTTTAATACATAGGTAATTAAAATTTTTCAGAAGAATGCAGTAGTATATTTTGTCAAACATGCTCGATAATTGTGTTCAGCATTATGAATATTGCCTGCGCCACAGTAGCAAACATATTGAACACATTTTTATCGCAGAAAAACTTAAAATTGACAGTATTTTAATTTTTCTTATATTGACTAATGTGGTCAATGTTTCATGTTTGATCAAACTTTAAGTTTTGGTGTCCTTTGTTTTGGAACAAATTATACTTAAATTTCATAACGTGTACATTAATAATAATTGTTATTAATAAATTATCAAAAGCTCTTAACAGTCCATAAAATGTACAACATAAAATACACTATTATGCAGTAAATAAATAATCAATAAAAACAATAATGAGCTAGTGTGACAACAATTGATACACTGTTGATTTAATAATCAACATAGATAAACTTTACATTATATAAATCATCTTTTTTGAAAAGCCGATTTTATAAATATGTTTTTTAAAAATGTAATACTTACAGGTGCTACTCCAAAACTATCATAATAGGCAACTACAGCTATGGTAGGAATTTTTCCATCGGCACTATAACCAGACAGTTGTCCATGTATAGTAGCAATCCTAGCATCAGTTCTAACAGTAGGAGTACTAGCAGAAATAATTATCTGATATCCATTACCAGCTATAGAATTTATCATAGCTTCAGTTGCTGACTTACTCAGATTGTCTTCAATATTACTTTCAATGTCTTCTATTATGGATTTTAATTCTGGAGAATATTTTACAAAATATACTGGAATTGTCACCTCCTGTGCCAACATGACATTTTCTAATAGAAGAAGGTGCTAAAACAATACATCAAAGTTACATTAGAAGTTTAAGAATTAGAAATAGTTGGTGACTACCAGTGTGGTTTCAGGCCTGGCAGATCAACTATTGATCAAATATTTACAATAAGACAAATTCTTGAAAAGTATTGGGAATATAATCACGACCTGCATCAGATTTTTATAGACTTCAAACAGGCTTATGATTCAATTAATCATGCAACATTATGGAAGGCAACGATCGAGCTCTGCGTACCCAAGAAACTAGCTGCGATAACACAAATGTGTGTAAGTAACTCTGTTATAATAGAGGGAAAAATATCAAATGCTTTCTGCATAAATTCTGGACTGAGACAGGGAGATCCGTTGTCCCCATTGTTGTTTAACCTGGCCTTAGAATATGTCATGCGAAAAATATATCCAAAAATCAAACCAGACATAATTGCTCGGGGAGCAAAAATCATACTCGCCTTTGCTGATGACGTAGAGTCAGTAGCACAATCAAAATTTGAAATTAAGGATATTTTCTCGAGCTTTGAAGAAGCTGCATTAAACATTGGTCTAAACATAAATGAAGACAAAACAAAATACATGGTCGTCTCAAAACAAGAATGACAGCAAATAAGGCAAACCATTACTATATGATCACAACTTCAAAGTGGTTAAAGATTTTAAATACCTAGGAGCAAGAATCATAAATGACAAAGTGTTCACTCTATATTTTAAAAGAATTTATTGTACTTTAATAAAGGAGTATATTAAACTAACAAAGGTATTCCTATTTCTTACTTGGTTCATAAAGTATCTAAGTATGTTTAATATCCAATATATTTCTCTAATAATAAAATATTTTTAATCTTTACAAAAGTAATAGTTTTATGTGTATTGAATCCTGTAAATTTTACTAAAATTACTCAAATTTACCCAATATCCAACAAGTAGGTACTAGTCAGAAGCTTGTGTTTACAAGTAAAATTTAAGAAAAAAATATTTATTCATTTTTCTGATTTAAGTGATTAGTGATATACCTGATACTCTTCTGATGATAAACTTGATAAATTTTCTGGTAACATTGCCAGTAAAGCTCCAGCTTTAGATTTGATATTTTTAAAACTATCCACAGTCAATGATTTAAAGTTAGTTACAACACAATGTCTAGCATTATTCCAGTTAGTCAGGGATTTGGCTTCTAAATTTATACCTGCACTCCTACAACCTAAAATATTATATTTAAATTTTTTCAATTAAAAGTGTTAATAGGAAACATACCATGAGATATTCCGTGTAAATCATAATGTGGCATTCTATATACTGGAAATTCAGATGAGGCTAACACAGGATTAGCTGGAGAGACTATAATGAATATTGGTAGAAATATTAAAATGTAGTATGGCAAATAGCCTTTAAATACCTCTTCAACTTCCTGCAGCCACATTATTCCAGTATATTTTACACACACCAATTATCTGTAACAGAAAGAAACCTTATACGGCACTAATTTAATTAATAACAGAATAAAAACTTGCAAAAAATCAGTTTTCTAACTTAGCCTTGCCTTGTGACAAATTGACATTGTCTAGCTATGGCAAGGCAAGCATGGATTCTATGTAAATTAGAGCATAGCAGAATGACATCGTACAATTGTAATATTTTGTATAAAACGGATTACTGGCAACATTGCACTGTATATACCGGAAGTTGTGACGGTTGTGACACAGAATAATAAACCTGTGGTTGTGACCTCCATGCATAGACATATAAAAATAGATTATGCATTTCATCAGGCTAATAAATAATTATTTTATATTAAAATGTTTTCTTACGTATTTTAGTGTGTTGCAGTAGTCTTAAAACTAAGTGTAACTCTCAAACTGTTAAAAATAATGAACTTTTAAAATGACGGTATTACAAAAAGATCGAAACTAACACAGAAGAGTTGATTGTCAGTTGTATTTGTGATGTTATTTAGGACATGTACAAAATAAGAACTTTCACAAATTAGCAAATGTAGAGAGAATGATTGTTTATAAGAAATTATATTCCCAAATAGTTGACATTTTAAAAAATTACTAACTTATTAACTATTCATATGTTTTGGCAACGCTGTGGGGTTCTGATGCCGTAAATCTTGTATGTATGACTGTGTATGACGTGCTTTGATTTTTATTATAAAATTCTTGTCTTGTAACATCATCTACACCAGTGTTTCCCAATCTTATTTTTGTGCCATGCCCCACCTTAGCATTTCTAAAATTCTTATGCCTCCTCTATGTAACAAATAATTTTGAACATTAAAAAAAGTAAACATTAAAAAAACATTAAAAAGGCAAAAGTATAGATAAAGTGGTGGTGAAGTTAGCTACAAATGAGGAAAAGTTTTGTATTTAGCAGTGTTGCCATGTCGTTTTAATAAATCACGAAAGAGCATGCGACATAATGTTATTTAATTTTACTAAATATTCTTTTTAAGTTTTTAAAAGAAGTTTAATTAATTTAAATTTAGTTTATCATAATTTAAATTAACTTCAATTTTTTAAGTTTTTAAGGTATTCAGGTACCATTTCATCTCAAAAATATAAGAAAATAGTCATAAAATTGAAATCTGCTGAACATCTGGTGCAATCTGGCAACTAGTGTTTTCAAAGTTTTTACAGTATTGTACAGTGCGAGACGACTGCGTTCGAAATATTTCGAAGAGCGGTATCTTGCCCTGTCGAATAAAAATTGTTTTTAAATAGTTTCCTGTTTACGTAAGTTGTGAATATGTCAGTGAATTGTTTTGAATGTGGTAAAATTTTCTCAAATCAGTTTTAACTTAAATAAACATATAAAAAATATACATGGTAAACTTTCTACGCCGATGTAATATGCGGAAAATGTACATTTAATAAGTGTCTGGCATATTTCCAGTAGTTTTTTTTTTAAACCGAAAGGACTCATATATTAATGAAGTTTATTTTACAGAAATTATGAAAGTTGTTGGAAAAATACAAACGCTCTGTTTTATGTCGGACATTACTTCAGTTTTTTATGGAAGAGTATTGAAGAATTAAGCTATTTTATACCAGAATGTTATTTAAATTTAGTTCATTAATAATTTCTTTACTTTCAATAACAATAAATCAATTTAAGTTTATAATAATACTTATATAATAATTTATTATAATCCCTATTTTCACTCATAAACGTGTATTACGTTAAATATTTAAATTATCTGGTACGTTAACAATCTCCATATGCTACTACAAACAAAATAACAATGTTGGACCGTTAATATCAAAGTCGTCAATATACATTAGATTAATGTGATTTTCTTTCTTATTACTGAGAGTTCAAGTTATTTATTCTCTAAATTTTAGTTATGAATGTAACAACTATGTACCTGTAGTAATAAATATTTTAAAATTTCCGATTTGTATGCCTAAATAGTTTTTATAAATTTGCTCAGATTTTTTTAGTTTGTAGATGTCACTTTTGATGCCATTTCAAAGATTGCACATGCGCAGTTGACGGATCGGGTCCCTGTAATTAATCGCTCCTCTTTTAATTGCGTATGTTTCATTTGTAATGTAAATTTCAACACTGCGAAACACCAATATTTCATTCTGTCAAACCCATTTGAGGCTATCTTCAATGGGACCAAATGTGAAATTCGTCCCAGATTTTTACTGGAAACATATGCGCAACAAAAAATATTAAAAAAAAACAGAGCTTTTCGAGGAACTATTCATCATTTAATAAATAGATATGAAATAGATATTATAAATCTCATTGACACTTCGGTGTTGACACATTCAGAAATGAATACAAATGAACTGCGCAAGTCTGCACAGAATAGTGGGTCAAGCTCTAGAGGCTAGTCGATACCGCAAACGCAAATTTGACGGTTCATTTGTAGCTAACTTCACCGGCACTGTCTCTACACTTTTGCCTTAAAAAATTACAGCGCCGGATTAACAGGGGGTTAGAGCCCCGGGAAGTTTTCAAAAAACGTTAAAAAAAAATGAAACGGCAATAAAGAATTCACTTAAACAAGAGGAGCAAAATTATTCTTTCTGTGGTTTTGTTTTGACTCATGACAGAATGTCATTGACATTGACATTTGCTTTTGTAAATATATAGGCAAATATGCAAATTGATGCAAATATAGGAGTAAAGAATAAAAATTGAAGAATTATTATATGATTCCCTTAATTTTCGTTTTCAAGTAACTTAAGAGTTTATAAACATGCCTACAATAATATTGCTGGACGTATCTCTTTCTATGACAAGGCCTGTTCAAGTTGGTGAGGGCTTTGAAACAGTCTCCAGAAAACAACTGGCAGAATTAGGAATTAATGCATTTTTGGATTATCTTAGCATACATTCTAAATTAGAGTTTATATCTTTGGTAAGTCTTTATAATTTAATCATGTTTTTTTTATACTAAGGTGCCTTGTCAGTTCAAGAAATATTTTGAGGGTTCCATTTGTTTATCAAATTTTTAGTTTAGTTTAATATATTTTGCTTTTCAATATGAGGATTGTGGGTAAATAAACATGTAAAGATTATCTATGATTTTGAAAATATTATTTAAATCGAGTTTAACATAGGGGTAGAAATTTAAATCTGTTATTAAAAACCTTTATTTTGTGAAAGCTAAGCATAAGTCACCTATTTGAATCTTATATTGAAATCGCTAGTTTTAATGCCTTTATGTGTGGTAATAAATTATATATTTGTGGAATAACTTCAGCACCCAATATGAATATCATTTTGATTAAAACTAAGGTAACATGGAACTGATCCCGATTTTAATTCACAGCTATCTGTTACAAGTTATGTTTGTAGTAAAACTATAAAATTACTGGGATATTGTACTAAATTAATAATTCAGTTGTATAATATTGGTAGAATCATTGATTGGAATATTATAGGGGGGAAATATTATCCCATATTTTAAGCAACAGTAGAATATAGTTAACTTGGCATTAATTCACATTCACTCATTCATTAAACTAAGAAAAAAAGTAAATTTTTCTCAAATAATTGGAGGGTTCAGAGGCCAGCTAATGGAAGTCAACAACTAATATAATTTAGTTGGTTAAATATGTTAAGTTTTTTGTATAACATGCAAACATAACACACAAAATCATATCTGCTATGTCCAATTAAAGTTTCAAGGAAGTATTGGCATACACACTACCAAACTGGTTTTTGATAATCTACTGACTTACACTGATTGGCATCTGAAGTCTCCAATTAGTACCTACTCTCAGCATTACCCAAATCTATGGAAGAACAAAAATATTACTTTAATTGTATGTGTTGTATGCCTAAATTTCTTCTTTACATCAAGAAGTTTATATAGTTATTACAAAATTTTAAAACCCTAGGACTTTTCATTATATACTACACTAAATTCAATAGTATTCTTTCTTACACCAAGAGAAACCAATGTACGAAGTTTTATCAAGTTTCCATCTTCAAATGAGTGATCAAAGAAACATCTGGAAATAAAAGAAGCTACTTGAACACACTCTAATAACTGATAGAGTAGAGAAAGTCAATCAGTTAGAAATCATAAGAGCTAAAGATCTCTCAAACACATCTATTACAAACTAAGGCAAACAGGGACAGTGCATTCAGGTCCCAAGTGAAAGAAAAATGGACAAAAGAAAAATCAACACATCACATAAGGTTCAAAAACCCCATTTATTAATCTTCTCATCCATTTATCTGAGTGAATTTGAAGCTATTGTGATAGCTAACCATGGAGCAGAAAAAAAAGATTCTTTCCATGGCTGCAGCTTTACAAGATGATGCTATCGACATTATTTATGATTGATTCCTAAGAGGTAAGAAAAATTTCAAACCTTACTGAACCAGCTGGAAAAACGCAGAAGTTGCAAATATTGGTCAGTAGCTACTGACAACATTTTGGATAATGGTTGATACCTTCGATAGTAGTCTGAGAGAGTGAATTACTTTTTTTTAATCGTTTCTTTTTGTTTAATAAGAAAAAAACACAAAAAGTTATGTTGGTAGAATTTCAATACGTTTTGTAACAATGAGAAGGATAAGGGAAAAACATGCAAAGTATACCCATAACATCAGTGCTGACAATGCTCAGCCTATCAGACAACTCATTTTCGAAATGAGACGAAGCTGAAGAAAATATTAGGGATATGGCCACCCAAGGACTCATCAAATCATTAATTGGTCCACTTGTAGTCCTGGTAAAGAAGTATGTGGTAACAAAAATTAGAGAAAGATAGGTACTCCGTACCCAGAATAGAAGATACCCTACCTCCTCCAATCTTGGCAGCTGAATCTGTGGCTTTACTATTCCAATTGTCAATATTGTACAATAAATGACCAGAATATTTAATATTTCAGAGTAAAGGATCTTGATATAATTTTGAATGAAAAGCTAATTTTTATTAAACATGTTAATACAATTTCTTTGAAAGGTTTTAGAATGTTTGGATTTATTTTCAGAAATTGCAAGATATTTTCCATTGACGCTATAAGATTAGTTTATTGTGCATTGGTTAGGTTAGATCAATATTGAAACATTCCTCAGTTGTATGGTAATCATACTTTAAAAACATAAAGATGTGATAAAAAGAATGTAACAAATTTTTGCGCTTATAATTCTAATGTAAGAATTTTCAACCATGATTATTGTAAAATGGAAAGGAAGCTCTCTTTTTACCCTCTGAGCCTTAGGAGAGATTATTTTGGTGTTTTATTTATTTACAAGTTACTTAGTGGTGGCGTTGACTGTGCTGCTTGTTGGATCAGAAAAATTTTTAAAAATAATGTGTTAAACTAATGATGCCACAAAATTCATTTGATTTGAACATACTCAAAAGTTTGGGGGGTTTAGGGCTGCACACCCCCCTTAAAATTTTTCTGTGTGCTTAGATTTTGTTGTTTCTTTTGTATGAAAAATGCTTTCAGAACAAGAAAGTAACGGGTCAATTTTTATTACAAAATGTCAAGTAGTTTAGGAGATAATTCAAAAAAACAATTTTTATTTTGTAACTTCAAAAGACTAACTTTTTTTGTGTACACTTTTGTACTAAGGTAAGTTGGATTCAATCAATTTATTTTTGTCCCCGGAATGCCTGATTTAATTTATGACATACAGTTTTGAAACACCCTGTATCGATGATGTGCCCACACGCCGTCATATTAAACTATTTGTAATTTCTCACGATTTTTTTGGCTACAGAATTTAAAAGTAGTGGGTAGTTCAAAAAATCTCGTTTATTTTAGAAGAGTATTAGAATGACAGTTACAGTGTTGTCAGTCGTCGAATAATATTTAGGGATTAATAAAATCAAAATTTATAAATAATCACGTTGTGAAATTTACACCGTAGTAATTAAATAATAATATTTAATCTGACATATATATCAAAAAAGTAAATAATTTCCAAGTTTAAACAAATGGGAGATATCTATGGTGTTATATGTCACTGTCATGTCAATTTAACTTTTTTGGTTCATGTGTACCAACTCTAACATGATTCCATCCTCTTTCATATGGGATTTTAGACGTTCGCCATGCGGGAAATTGTGTTTAATGTTATAAATTATTAAAGTACGTTATAACCGTCAAGTAAACCAACTTCATTAAATTTGGACGTCCATATTTAGTGTAATTAAAGTTTAACGATTTTTGTGGGTTCCGTAAGAGGTTATGCGATAGTAAACATGGGAGAAGCCAGAATTGCAAAAAGTGGAATTTGCACAGCAGTTGCAATTAGATATTACTTTATTTACGAAAATGTAGGCGGAGGAGAACCTGAGCTTCGTTTTGTGCAACATCCCTTAATTGAGTTAGAAGTTGATATACCAAAAGAGGACAAAGAGGAAGAATTAACCCCAGAAACTGTAAACTATGAAGACGATGTAGAATACTTAAGAAGTTTAGATCCTAAAGAATGGAAATCACAAGATCATTACAAAGTCTTAGGTATCCCAAATATAAGATACAAAGCAACAGATGACATTATTAAAACAGCATACAGGAAGAAAGTATTAAAGCATCATCCTGACAAACGCAAAGCTTTAGGGGAAGAAATAAAAACAGATGATGACTATTTTACCTGTATAACAATGGCTTATGAAACTCTAGGAAATATAAATAGGAGGAGAGCATATGATTCTGTCGATCCACAATTTGACAATGATTTACCTTGTACTAGTGATATAAAAAAAGACTTTTACAAAACATTTACTTATTATTTTGACTTAAATTCCCGATGGTCGGAAAAAACACGGGTACCCAAATTAGGAACTGAAAATTCAACAAGGGAAGAAGTGGAACACTTTTATTCATTTTGGTATGATTTTAAATCATGGAGGGAGTATTCCTATGAAGATGAAGAGGATAAAGATAAATGTCAAGATCGTGATGAAAGAAGGTAAGTTTATTAATAGTTGTATTACTATAATAAGTAGAAACGTCTTTTATTGTCTCTGTACTGCAAAACTTGACAACTATCCTAGAAAGAAATTGCATTTAGATAAAAAATTAACAGTTTTTGTGAAGTAAAAATCAGACTTGTTATTTCATCAGGTTATAGATATAATAATAGTCCCTTCTTATAATTTGATGAAACATTTTTGACACACTTGGTTTGTAAGCACTGTAGTTTTCGCAGAATCAGCTATACATAAAGTTCAAATAAGTCTTAGCTTTTACTATATTGTGATCTTCACTTCAAGTAGATCAATTCAATGACTGTTATTACATTAAAAGAGTGCTTACTGCTGCTAAAAACTAATAACTATATTAAAAGCTAAACCTAGACAGAATAAAACAAGTAAAAAACCCTATTCATCTATATTAAATTTTAAGACAACAACTTTTGCAGACTAGAAATTTATTTCAAAAGCAACATTTGTTTGTTTCACAGAAGAATTTAAAAAGAATATATCACAGTTAATTATCACATGATTACATTCTTCTAGCATCTTATTTATGGGTGAATAATCAGTCTTATTAGTTGAGAACAATCATTTGTTATTAATTCTTAGATGTATTTTTGGAACATTAAATTTAATATTATTTATAAATGTGATTTACAACATAGTAAATAAAAAGGGCTGAATGAAAATTTCTTCTATTATCCCGTCCCTGAACTTTAAAACAAGTTAACATAGTAATAGAAAATTGTTTATGGATAGATACCAAACTTCCTGACATAAAGAAACCTCAAGAATCATTTTTAAACCTTTTCAATTAGATCAACATTGAATTCAGCTTCTGGTGCCCATATAATAGAGGCATATTCCAAGTGAGGTCTTACCAGTGCATTGTATAATGATATTAGAGTTTCAAATCTTTTAAAACATTTTGAATTACCAATTATGAAGCCAAGAGTTCTGTATGCCT